TCGGCCAGGCACAGTGGCTCACACCAGTAATCTCAGCACTTTGGGAAGCCGAGGCAGGTGGATCATCTGAGGTCAGGAGTTAAAGACCAGCTTGGCCCATATGGCAAAACCCTGTCTCTATTAAAAATGCAAAAATTAGCCGGTCGTGGTGGCAGTCACCTCTAATCCCAGCTACTTGGGAGGCTGAGGCAGGAGAATCACTTGAACCCAGGAGGCAGAGGTTGCAGTGAGCCGTGATCACACCATTGCCCTCCAGGCTGGGCAACAAGAACCAGACTCCATCTCAAAAAAATAATAATAATGAAACTCATCTTTTTCTTAGAAAAATGGTAATACCGATTTATGAGGGGGCCTTATTAAAATTTACCCTCTTCCTTGTTGAGGTCCTGAGCCAATTAAGAAATCAAGCCCAAGAGTCAGCAGATGAAAGTCAGCGCAGCACTCTGATGAATCTGGTGAAGGCTGGGTTTGAGGGCATAGCTCCCTTCTGATGGCATTTGGGCTTCCTGACCAAATTGCAGAGTGTGGCAGACTCACCACTGACACAGGTCCACACCTCTCCTCCCCATGCAGACAGGACAAGCCTCCTGAAAACTAGCACTCCCTGGGGCAGCGGACTCCCCAGAGGAAAAGCAAGGGAGGGATTGGGCTATGCATGCCCAGTTTGGCCCTCCAAATCCACTAGACACATGCTAGGGGTCAGCAAACCACAGCCCATGGACCTCATCCGGCCTTCCATTTGTTTTTGTAAATAAAGTTTTATCAGAACAGAGTCGCACCCACCTGTTTATGTCTTGTCTGTGACTTTTTTTTTTTCTTTTTAACAATAGCAGGGTTTTGTAGTTGCCACAGAGACCCTCTGACCCACAAATCTTTAAATATTTACTATCTGGGCTTTCACAGGAAACCTCCAGTTTGCCAGAGTAGAGCCCCCGGCATGGAGGGCAGCGTCAGAGGTGGGGGCCGAGGTCACTGGGTTTAGGAAATCTTGTTTACTGAGCTGCACTTGGTCTCCAGGGGTCTTCTCACAATATGGCTCTAAAGACCTGAGGGCAAGATGCTGGAGGGTGGGACCATGGGCAGGTTTATTTAAATAAGATAGGGTTTCTCAGCAGAGCATGGTGGCTCACGCTTGTAATCCCAGAACTTTGGGAAACCGAGGCAGGTGGATCACTTGAGGTCCAGAGTTTGAGACCAGCCTGGCCAACATGGTGAAATCTCATCTCTACTAAAAATACAAAAATTAGCCTGGCATCGTGGTGCACACCTGTAATCCCAGCCTCAGGAGGCTGAGACAGGAGAGTCGCTTGAACCCAGGAGGCAAAAGTTGCAGTGAGGCGAGATCACGCCATTGCACCCCAGCCTGGGCAACAGAGCAAGACCCTCTCTGAAAAAGAAAGGAGGGATGGGGATTTCCAGGATTAGGCACTGCTGACATTTTGTCCTGGGTCAGTCTTGGTCGTGTGGGGCTGTCATCTGCAACAGAGAATATTGAGCAGCATCCCTGGCCTCCATCCTTCCGATACCAACAGCTCACCAAGTTCTGATGAAAGCAAAAATGTCTCCAGACGTTGCCATGTGTCTCCTGGGGACAGCGGTGAACCCGCTTCCAGCCAAGAGCCACTGCTTTGAGGAGCTGGATGCACCGAGGCCTCTCCAACCTGCCAGGTGCCAGAGAAAGAGAAGCGCAGGCCTTGAGCTTGCCCAGGACTCCCATGCTGCCTCCCACTCAGTTACTCCCTGACACCCAGTCAGGGACGCCCAGTCGCTGTTTAATTAGGTACCCACCACCTCGTTACATTTCACTCTGTGAAAACTGGATGTGACTCAGACTCAGAGACGGTGCAGCCGGCTCCCCGCCGCCGCCTCTGTAGAACGCCAGGTTCCTCCCGTCTATTCTTGTCCCATCCTCCCACACAAAGGGAGGTTCCACCCGGACCTTACCTCCGAGGCTGCTGGGGGATCCTCCCTTCCTATTCCCACCTCCCCTGTGTACCCAGAGCCTTCTGCCTCTGGAGCGGCCACCTCCAACCCTGTATGGTGGGCAAGTCATTTAATGAGGTGCTTCCACTTACCTAATGAGGTACTTTGGGGGTTCCAGAATTCAGCTGCTTGGCCTCCTAAGGAGACTTCCCACTCCTGGAAAGTGTCAGCCACCTTCCAGGTCACCAGGAGAACCCCTGCAGAGGGAGCCAGCCCTATCAAAGCTCTCCCAGGCCAGGTGGCTCTCCCTTTTCTCTGAGGACACAGGTGGAGGGGTTGTCCTCTCCTCTGGGGGTACCAGAGCCCCGTCCCACCCACTCTCCTCCTTCCTCTGGGCGTTCACCTGCCCTGCCTTTCTCTTCCCCTCCTGGGTTCTCGGCCGAGCACTCACATGCACAGGACCCAGCACCCAGCTGTCTGTTAGCAACACCTCCTTACATCCCTGCAACCGCCTTGAATGCCTGTATTCTGTGCTGTCAACAATACTCATCAGGAATCTCAGTGCCACAGTATCCTCATCCAGAAAGAGAGGACTAGAATACAATTGCTGTCTCTAGATTCAAATTTTCCCATTTCTGAAATATGGCTTTATAGATTATGATTTTTTTTTTAAACAGAGCCTCTGTCGCCTAGGCTGGGGTGCAGTGCAGTAGTGTGATCTCGGCTCACTGCAACCTCCGCCTCCCAGTTTAAGCAATTCTCCTGCCTCAGCCTCCTGAGTAGCTGGGACTACAGGCACATGCCACCATGCCCAGTTAATTTTTGTATTTTTAATAGAGACAAGGTTTCACCATGTTGGTCAGGATGGTCTCATTCTCTTGACCTTGTGATCCACCTGCCTCGGCCTCCCAAAGTGCTGGGGCTGCAGGCATAAGCCACCATGCCCAGCCTATAGATTATTAAAAATTGCACATGCAAGCCAGGTGCCATGGCTCATGCCTGTAATCTCAGCACTTTGGGAGACTGAGGCAGGCCGATTGCTTGAGGTCAAGAGTTCAAGAACAGCCTATGCAACATGGTGAAACTCCTTCTCTACAAAAATAAGCCAGTCATGGTGGCATGCGCCTGTAGTCCCAGCTACTTGGGAGGCTGAGGTGGGGTGATCACTTGAGCCTGGGAGGTTGAGGCTGCAGTGAGCCGTGATCATGCCACTACAGTCCAGCCTGAGTGGCAGAGTGAGACTTGTCTCAAAGAAAAAAATATGTACATGTGAAATAAAAACAGAAGAGGAAGAAGTCTTGCCTGTCTGCTCATCACAGATAATTTTTAGGCACATCGCCTTCCCGATGAATTAGGGTGATTTTCTTTAAGCTTTGTCACTGATGTAAAGCGTGCATGTGGAAAAGTGCACCCTCCCAGATGACCAGGTCAGTGAGGTGTCACCAACTGAACCACCTGCTCCAGCAAGAAACAGAACAAGACCATCACCCGAGAAACCCCCTTGCTCCCACCCACCCTCCCCCCATCTCCAGGATACCCACTGTTTTTATTCTAACACCATAGATTCGTTTGGCCGGTCCTCGGATTTCGTGTATATGAGATCACACCACATGTCTTCTTTTGTATCTGGTTTATTTCTCTTAAAGTTCTTAGGTTGTCGAGACGCATCGATGTTCTTGAATGTAGCACTAGGTCTTTCTTTCAGGTTTCAGTGTAGTCTGCCATTCCGTAAACATGCAACAATTTCTTTACCCATCCTTTTGTTGATAAACGTTTCATTTGTTTCTACTTATTTACTGTTATAAATGTGCCGCCATGAGCGCTTCTTACACCTGACTTTACGTGTTTGTGTGAATACTTTTCTGTTGGGTAAATAACCAAGATTTAAATTGCTGGATAGAAGTTATTAATGGGTTCAAACGTAGCAGACACAGCCAAAGAGGTTCCCCTGTGGACGGACCAGTCAGCTCGAGTTGTCCCACACTCCCCCCAGACTCGAGCGAGACCCTGTCTCCAATAAAAATTTTAAAAAGGCACACTATATTGCAAAATACCTATAATATTTTGATAACCGTATTTCCAAACAACTGATTTTCTCTGTAATCCTGTATCTTGTATTCAATGCATGTAAGAGGGCTGGAGAAGGGATCCGTTGTCTCTGTGTCCCACAAGGCTCCATGGCAGAGCGGGTGGGCGTGGGCAGCCCTCGGGCATGTAGTGGTTTAATACAAAGCGTTACCCATTTTTGTAACGTTAGGCATTCCAGTTTGCTGTGTAGTAGACAGAATCCAAGGGATCCATGAACTTCAGTGGGAAGAAAATTGCACTCTTGTTTCCACTAACCTACAGCTGAAATTTAGCATTTGCTTCCAATATGAACATAGGCTGTAAACCACAATATGTTGGCAGAATCTGTAGTTTTATCATCTGTAGAAATCACCGGTATTTTAATGTCCCACTGCAGTTGTTGCAGATATGGCAAAATCAAATATTTTCACGCTTAACTATTTTGAAATGATCGCTCTCTGCTAGGAGTTAAAAGACACACTAGGCCAGGTGCGGTGACTCACGCCTGTAATCCCAGCACTTTGGGAGGCCAAGGCAGTCGGATCACTTGAGGTCAGGAGTTCCAGACCAGCCTGGTCAACATGGTGAAACCCCATCTCTACTAAAAATACAAAAAATTAGCTGGGCTTTGTGGTGGGATGCGTGTAATCCCATACTCGGGAGGCTGAGACAGGAGAATTGCTTGAACCCAGAAGGCGGAGGTTGCAGTGAGCCGAGATCGTGCCATGGCACTCCAGCCTGGGCAATAGAGCAAGGCTCTGCCTCAAATAAAAATGAAAATAGAAGACACACTGTATCACAAATGCTTCGAATATTTTGATAACCATGTTTCCAAACGACTGACTTTCTCTGTAATCCTGTATCTTGTATTCAATGCATGTATCCATTGGCTCTTCCAGCGGGCTCCATGGCAGAGCCGGTGTGCATGTTCTGGCCTTGGGCACACAATGGTTTAATAAACATCGTCTGACACATTCTCACGTGGCCTCCTGATCCCTCTCCCTCCACAGCTTTCTTCGGGAAGTATCTCAATGAATACAACGGCTCCTATGTGCCGCCCGGCTGGAAGGAGTGGGTCGGACTCCTTAAAAACTCCCGCTTTTATAACTACACACTCTGTCGGAACGGGGTGAAAGAGAAGCATGGCTCTGACTACTCCAAGGTAAGCCGCGACCTCTCCGGGCCTGGGCGAGGCTGCACAGCCCAGCAGCTGGGGTCCCAGCCCAGGAGCCAGACTGCCTGTGTTCGGATTGTGACTTCGACACTTCAGTGTGTCACCTTCAGCATTTTACATACATCTTCTTCTCAGTTTTTTCATCTCTCAGCCAGGCACAGTGGGTCATGCCTGTAATCCCAGCACCTTGGGAGGCTGAGGTAGGCGAATCACTTGAGCCCAAGAGTTCAAGACCAGCCTGGGCAACATGGCGAGACCCTGTCTCTACAAAAAAAATACAAAACTTAGCCGGGTGTGGTGGCACATGCCTGTGGTCCCAGCTACTGGAAAGGCTGAGATGGGAGGATTGTTTTAGCCTGGGATTCTGAGGCTGCAGTGAGCCAAGATCTTGCCACTGCTCTTCAGCCTGGGTGACAGGGCAAGACTCTCTTTAAATAAGAAAAGAAAAATGTATTCATTTCTCAAAGAGTAGTCTCTGTTTTCAAGAATTTGGTTTTTTAACATTTTGCTGAGGCAGTATATTCTTACAGAAAATATATATACAGAATGTACCATTCAAAGGCTTGCCACAAACTCAGACATGTAATGAGCACCCAGCTAGGCCAAGAAGAGAATGTCACCACCACCCCCAGCGGTCCCCTCATGGAATTCCCCCCACTCGACACCCTTCCCACGAGGATAGCAATGATTCAGACTCCCAGCATTACAGATTCACTCTGCTTCTGGCTTCTCTTGCTCAGGATTCCATTGACTTCATTCTCGCCGCACGGCATTCCGACATGCACTTACACCATGGTTTGTTTATTTCTTCTACTTTTATTGGGCATTTATGTATCTCCAGTTTGGGGTTATTACAAATGGTGCTGCTGAGCAGAGTCTAGAACCTGGCTCCTGGTAAGCCTGCGGGCTCATTTCTGTTAGATATGTTCCTCACGGCGGCATTGCTGAGCACGGGGCGTGTGCGTGTTAGAGTTAGTGGGTGCTGTCTGAGCATTTGCAGAAATGCTTGATCCTCAGTCATAGTTTTTTCTATTTTTAATTTAAGATTGACATGAGGTAACATACACAGATCTTAAGTGGATGGCTTGATGAATTTCCACATACGTGTGCATCTGTTTCACCACAGCTCAGATCAAGACATAGAGCATTTCCAGAAGACTCCCTGGGACCCCTCTCCAGTCATAACCCCCACCCTGGGGATGACATCTAGGTCAGGAGTTTGAGACCAGCCTGGCCAACATGGTGAAACCCCATCTCCACTAAAAATACAAAAGTGAGCTGGGTATGCTGGCGGACACCTGTAATCCCAGTTACTCGGGAGTCTGAGGCAGGAGAATCACCCAAACCAAAGGAGGCGGAGGTTGCAGCGAGCCGAGATCATGCTGCTGCACTCCAGCCTGGGAGACAGAGCAAGACTCCATCTCAAAAAAAAAAAAAGTGTTGTGCTAGTTTACACTCCCAGCCAGAAATGAGAGGTGCTCTGCCTCCCTTATCAACACTTGGTGTTGTCTTTTTTAACAGGGCTGCTTTGCTGGGCGGGTAGTGGTATTTGATTACGGTTTTACCACAAAAGTTTTTGAGGGTCACATGAGTTAATACGTGTGGGACATTAGAAGAGCCCCCGCCCCCCCTGCACATAATACTCAGTACGTAGTAGCTTAGATCAGAGCAACAAATGTTTCTGTAAAGGGCCAGATACTAAATATTTTAGGCTTCACAAGGCATACAGTTTGTGTTAACACTGCTGAAGTCTGCCATTATAGTATGAAAGCAGCCACAGAGAATATACAAACAAATAAACATGGCCGTGCTGCAAGGAAGCTTTATTTACCAAACCAGACAGTGGACCTGCTTGGTTGCAGTTTGCTGACCCCTGGCTTAGATGCTGAGGAGGAGGAGGAGGAGGAGGAGGAGGAGGAGGAGGAGAGGCTGACAGTGATGTTTCATTCATTCCCATTTTAAAAGAAATAAGGAAATGAACAATCTTCCTGCCGCATCTAAATCGTCAGAGTCAGCTCTGACATTCCCCCACAGCTGATACATCTTTCCCCAGACCATCTACCAAATCCATCCCTCTTTCTCGTTTCCCATCCCCACTGCCATTAGCCCTGGGCCCAGCTTGCTGTGACTTCCAGGTTAAAGTCACTAGAGAACAGGTGATCACAGAAAGAGGGTAGCACGCCAGGAGGGAGTGAACGATAGGGAGTGGTGGGGACTGTGGAGAAGGTATCTGTCCAAAAGGGGCCGATCGGGCCCAGGTAGAACTGTGGGCCCAGATGGCCAGCTTTCCCTGATTCCTCAACAGAAACCACAAATTTGTATTTTTTACCTATGAAATCTCCTGATTTGTAAATATTGGCACCTAATTCAGGCTCTTCTGAAAGCCTACGTGAATCGGGCAGGCCTGACCACAGTGCTGCGGCCTCTACAGCCCATCACGTTGCTCCTCCTGCACCCTGCAGGGACTGTACAGTGAGCTTCACATCTGGGGTCGGTGAGATCACGTTCAGAGCCCCAGCCTTGACTCATGTTATGTGACCTTGGATGGGCTACTTATTCCTAAGAGCCTCCACTCCCAAATCTGGAAAACAAGCATACCCTTACATATTTAATCATGTGCATTTATTGAGCACCTACTGTGTGCCAGACACTGTGCTGGGAGTCAAACATGTAGTACATCTGCTATTCGCAACAGTCATATGAGAGGAGTGGACTAGTCAAACTTGATTCTATTATTCATTCACTACCCCCAACAAATATTCATTGAGAGCCTGCCATGTGCCAGGCACCATGCCAGGTGCTGGCTATTCCAGGGTGCATGAAAACAGACCCAGTCACTGTCCTCCTGGAGCTCACAGTCTGGCATGTGAAGATGCGATATAAACTACTGAGTGATGTGCACACAGCATTAATGCACACACACACAGACATATCACACCTCTCTATTTTGTCATCCCCAGTATAAGCCATTTCAGCCTCCAAGCTTGCTAGTTATTACAATCATCTATTTTTTTTGTTGTTTTTTTTTTAAATTTGTTTGTTTGAGATGGAGTCTTGCTCTGTCGCCCAGGCTGGAGTACAATGGCGTGATCTTGGCTCGCTGCAACCTCTGCCTCCCAGGTTCAAGCAGTTCTCGTGCCTCAGCCTCCTGAGTAGCTGGGATTACAGGCGTGCGCCACCACACCTGGCTAATTTTTTTTCTCTTTAGTAGAGCCAGGTTTTCACCATGTTGGCCAGGCTGGTCTCGAACTCCTGACCTCAGGAGATCCGCCCGCCTCGGCCTCCAAGAGTGCTGAGATTACAGGTGTGAGCCACCCCACCTGGCCTTCAGGTTTTTTTTCTTTTTCAACTTTTCTGGGGCACATGGGCAGCTTTGTCACAAAGGGGAAGTGCATGCTGCCGGGGTTTGGAGTACAACTGAACCCATTTTCCAAGTGGTGAGCACAATACCCAGCAGGTGGTTTTTTTCAGCCCTTACCCCCCATCCTCCCTCTTTGCCCTGTTTCCGGGCATGTAAAGATGTGGTATAAACTTTTTTTTGTTGTTTTTTTGAGACGGAGTTTCGCTCTGTTGCCCAGGCTGGAGTGCATTGGTGGGATCTCGGCTCACCGCAACCTCCGCCTCCTGGGTTCAAGCGATTCCCTGCATCAGCCTAGACAGCATAGAACGTCTGTCCTTCCTTCCAGCCCATTTCCTTCCCCTCTTGTATTCCTGAGTGTCTGTTCCCCGCTTTATATCCATGAGTGCCCAGTGTTTAGCTCCCACTTATAAATGAGAACACGCAGCCGGGCGCGGTGGCTCAAGCCTGTAATCCCAGCCCTTTGGGAGGCCGAGGCGGGTGGATCACGAGGTTGAGAGTTCGAGACCATCCTGGTCAACATGGTGAAACCCCGTCTCTACTAAAAAAATACAAAAAATCAGCTGGGCGTGGTGGCGCGTGCCTGTAGTCCCAGCTACTCAGGAGGCTGAGGCAGGAGAATTGCCTGAACCCAGGAGGCGGAGGTTGCGGTGAGCCGAGATCGCGCCATTGCACTCCAGCCTGGGTAACAAGAGCGAAACTCCGTCTCAAAAATAAATAAAATAAATAAAATAAATAAATAAATGAGAACACGCGCCCTTCTGTGTTCATGTTACTTTGCTTTGGATCATGGCCTCCAGCTTCATCCATGTTACTCTGCAAAGGACATGACTTCATTCTCTTTGAAGGCTGTGTAGTACTCCATGGTGTATATGTGTCCCATTTGCTTTACTCAGCTTACCACTGATGGGCATCTGTGTTGGTTCCATGTCTTTGCTATTGTGAACGCAGATGTCTTTTTGGTAGAACAATTTACTTTCCTTTGGGTATATCCTGGTAATGAGATTGCTGGATTGAATGGAAGTTCAACTCTTAGTTCTTTGCATCTCACAATCTTTTACTAGCGCTTTCCCACCCTGAATTTATCAAGTCTTACCCATCTTCTCTTCCATGAAGTCTTCCCAGATTGCCCTAAACTATAGGGTAATTTTTTTGAATCAGACTAGTCTCTTACAAGTTGTTTATGAACAGAAATTGAACTCCAAATGGCTTAATCAAAGAGGAAATATATTCACCGGTTTGACTGAAAACCAGCTGTAGTAGTGTCAGGTATGGGTGGATCCAGGAGTTCAAGTGAACCCCCAAGGAGTTGGTTTCTCTCTACTGTCAGCTCTGTTTTCTTCTGCTTAACTCTATTCACAGAAGCTCGCTCTCCTCCTGGTAGCAATGCCACCTTCCTTACATCCTCCCAGCTTCCTGTGCAGCTGCAAGCCAGCGAGTCTCAGTCCATCTCATTGGCTCTGGATCAGCCTCATGTCTGTCCCTGAGCCAATCAGTGTGGCCGGGAGGATGCCTGGTTCCCTGGGCTGTTAGTCATATGCTCTGCTCCTGAGCTAAACACGGGCGTAGCAGGAGCTCTAGCCTGGAACAATGGCTGAGAATAGAGCCCCAAATAAGAATGGAATTTCCA